AACTGAGCTATCTCTATCTGCTGGGCTTGTAACATTTCAAAGATCATATGCAAGCTGACTCCATTTTTCTCCACGTTATGGGAGCCTCGAGCTGCAAATCGAGTACCGCCATGAATGCTATTTTCAGGCTCGGAACGTTGGTTTGCCTCAAAGGCCACATGCGAGTTGACATCTAGCGGTACTTCGGCTCGAGCTTCAAGTACTTCGACTCGAGCTTCAATTACATCGATAAGCGCCTTCCGGCCCAGGGCATCAAGTTATTGGTTTCGTCTTGAAGGCCGGTTTTATTGTCGGTAGGTAAAGCTTTAATCGAGGGTTTGCCATTGCTAGTTCGAAGTCAGAGACACCCTCAAAAGATGAGCGTAAACTGATGTGTGTTGCAGATTTGTATCAAACAAACACTGTTATCCTTATGGGCGCCAAACTATTTTACCCGAAAAACGAATAGAGTTAAATTTGTACGTAGTTCTAAGGATATGTGGTATAGCTTAATACAAACCGTAAGGATAAATAGAAATATCAAATATGGATTGCAAAGAGTACAAAGTAAACAGGGCTGTAAAGAAGATGATTTTTAGGACTGAATAGGTTGAACCAATTTATGAAGCTTAGAAGAACAACTCCTCTCTATATGAGAATATGGTGCTTGAATTACAATGTAAAAAAAACTCCCCTTTACAGAAATAATAACCGTCCCCTTTATAGCAGAGGGACCTTATTTTAGATATAATTAAAAATACATAGTGGGAGACCCATGATAAATCAGATTTTCCATAATTCCTGTCAGGATTCTCTCCTCTGGTGGGATTGTAACGGCTCTTGTCTGTAACCTCGATATTGACTCGAGTTTTCGGTCTCGACTCGAGCTCTCGATCTTGACTTGAGCTCGATTCTGACTCGGATCCTTGCATTGGTTCGGGGTCAGGGTTGGTTGGTCTCTGAATCATAAGCTCGATAACTTTACTTTGCATCATAGTTCGATTTGGATTCGAGCTTGATAATGATATCGAGCTCGACATTGATCGGTCCCTCGGGCTCGAAGGTTGTTTGTACCATCTTCAGAACCCATTTTGAAGTCTTACTCCGATCTATTACGTTTTGACCTCGACCGATCGTACGAAGGCCGGAATCTATTTCGACTGTATACAAGTATTTATTTCTTGGAAATATTGTTCCACGTCATGACAGGTTTAAGGATGTTAAGCTAAATTCATATATTAATTCCTAAGGAACTTGAACTAAGCATAAAGCAACCAATTACTTCACTCAGGATTACGTGAAAAAAGAAATTAAAATATTATACAAAGTTTTGACACATTGACGGAATTTTCTTCGAAAATAAATTAAGAAAGTAATCCAGATGCAACTGTAAGGAGTTAGCTTTCACATTAGTCCCTGAAACATGTTATATAATCACTTGGCTCCCTAAATAGTCATTTTATTTAATTTTTTATCCATAATTTCTATTTAAAGGTCAAGAAAAACTTCACGACACATATAATTCATACCTTCAGGTATGCTGGTGAGGTTTTGACAATGAGATCAAGGTAAAGTACTAGAACGAACCATACACTTAAGCATGCAATTATTATAAGACATTTGATACGTAAGTCAATATATACAAAGTACAAAATTATCCTCTTGTGTGTGTGTTTTGGGGGGAGGGGGGTTCTGTTGGCATGTAAATTTTATTAGAATTAAATCCGTAAAATAATTCGGACTATATTTTAAATTCAAGTTATATTTGATCAAATAAACTTATTGAACTAATATAGTTGGATTAATTATAAGTCCAATATATATGGATTAAATAAAGGTCTTAATCCATTGGGATTGGCCATTTAATTGGACTACAAGTGATGAGCCCACTTCATTAAGCTCAAGACGACATCTTCCTAGAGGCCTAGTTTGACGCCACGTGTCAAATGACGTGGCACGCCAAGTCAAACAAAAGAGCCAATAGGATCGTGCCACATGTCAAAATGACAAGGCATGCCAAGTCAAATTGAAAGACCAATGAAATCATGCCACGTGTACAATTGACATGTTCTGACCAATCAAATGGGGCCTTGTCACTCTTCAATCTGATTGGTCGGAAAGAGTTTGTTCTCGTCACAACTCTTCCCTCCCACAACTATAAATAGGGGTTTTCATAACCCAGAAAAAGGGACCAGAAGTTATAACAAGAAGCAAGAGAAAGCTCGTGGATCAAACGCCGTAAATTTTTCTACAAGTTTTAAGCTTCAAGAAATCAAGTTCAAGCTCAAGAACGAAGAATAAATCAAGATACAAGGAGTATGAGTTCAAATCAAAGTTCGTACTAGTTGAATCCAAGATCATCGTTCGTGGCAATAGATATAGATTCAAGATCAAGCTCAAGGGCCTTTGAATTTATTTACTATTAGAAAGTAGAATCAGAGAATCCATAGAGATTGTAACACTCATATTACTTGAAATCAAATACTAAGATTGTTGCAATATTTTTCGGTCTCGATTAATTTCTTGACAAAATTTTATTGTTTACAAATTCTGGTACGCCCAGTGGGACAATCTCAACCTCTCATTTCAACTTTTCAATCACCAAAGTCCAAGAACGTCGAAATAGCTTCACAGAAAATTAACTCCAGATCAACTTCTAGTGAGGCTACTAATTCCAAGTTCTATGCTAATGTGGAAAACATCCTCGATGTTACCTTTGGAAATTTTGGGCCATTTACAAGGAGCAAAGCAAGCTCTTTAGGACAACAAGCACTCCAAGTGTCATCAACGTCAACCCCTATTTTCGGATCTTCATCTTCAAAAGGATCAAGATCCTCTACAAGCACGATCCAAAAAGGGAATGATGTCGCCAAAAGGATCGAAAAGGTTCTTGCCCAACTAAGTTTATCTAAGTCTAAGAAACCTTTCATGCAAGTTTATGATGATGACTTGAGCGTTGGATCTACTTTAGTCTCCATTAATGCGACCTCCTAGCTATATCCCAATAATGATCTATTTTATTTTTCATCCACTACATACATCATGCAAGCAATGGTTATTGAAGTTTCTACCGTAGAAGAACAACTCGCAAATTTGACGAAAGCAGTTGAAGGCTTGTCAAAGCGCGTGCAAGATCAAGATGCTAAACTTTCCAATTTAACAAATAAGTTGGATAGCATAGTAGAAGGAGAATCCATATAAACACCTTTAAATCTTCAAAGGTTACACAAGAAATGGGACTCCTCCGAAAATCAAGCAACGACAACTAAGGAGATTCAAGTCTTCCCTGAAGGTCTAATTCCCGTTGAAATATTGAAGGAGTTCATCATGGAGGCTATCAAAGATAAACAAGAGTCGTCATCCAAATTATATCTCACATATGCAAAGTCGTATATGCAAAGAATTGATAACTTGAATATGCATGCTGCTTATCAACCTCCTAAGTTGCAACAATTCGACGACAAGGGAAATCCGAAACAACATGTAGCGCACTTTGTTGAAACTTGCAGCAATGCTGGAACGTACGGTAATTATCTTGTCAAACAGTTTGTTCGATCTCTCAAAAGTAATGCATTCGATTGGTACACAGATCTCGAACCTGGATCCATCGATAGTTGGGAGCAGTTAGAGCAAGAGTTTCTTAATCGTTTCTATATCACAAGACGCATCGTAAGCATGACCGAACTTACAAACACTCATCAACGAAAGAATGAGCTAGTTATTGACTTCATCAACTGCTGGAGGAGCTTAAGCCTCAACTGCAAAGACAGGCTTAGTGAAGCTTCGTGCATAGAGATTTGCATCCAAGGCATGCATTGGGGACTTTGCTATATTTTGCAAGGTATCAAGCCTAGCACATTTGAAAAACTTGTGACTCGTGCCCATGACATGGAGTTAAGCATGACCTCCGCTGGAAATGAAAGGCTGCCTATCTATGAGCCTCGCAAAGGGAACGACAAGCAAGAAGTCAGAAAATGGAGCAAGTTTGCACCCAAGTCTGAAAACAAAGAAGCTATAAATGTCAACACATCACCTGTGAAGTTCACAACGAAGGTGAGCAAGAAGCAAGAGAGAGCTTGTGGATCAAACGCTGCATATTTCTCTAAAAGCTACAAGCATTCAAGTGTTCTAAGGATTAAAGATCAAGACGAAGATTCAAGAACAAGCTACAAGCCCTTGGATTGAAAATACGTCAAGATTAAAATCAAGATTAGACCTCAGGCACTTGGATTAAAATAAAATAAAATTTAAGATTACGCTCGTAGGCTCTTTTATTTACTATTGCAAAGTAGAATTAGATGATCCATAGAGATTGTAACACTCATATTGCTTGAAATCAAATATTACGATTGTTGCAATATATTTCGTTCTCGATTAATTGCTTGACAATATTTTTCGGTCTCAATCCACAGAATTTCAATCAAATTCTAGAATTTGTAGATAATAAAATTTTGCAAAAGAAAATAATCGAGACCGAAAAATAATGCAACAATCGTAGTATTTGATTTCAAGCAATATGAGTGTTACAATCTCTATGTATCCTCTGATTCTACTTTCCAATAGTAAATAAATTTAAGGGCCCTTGAGCTTGATCTTGAATCTACATTTGTTGCCACGAATAATGATCTTGGATTCAACTAGCACGAACTTTGATTTGAACTCGTACCATTTGAATCTTGATTTGTTCTTCATTCTTGAGCTTGAACTTGATTTATTGAACTTGAACTTGATTGTTTGAAGCTTGAAACTTGTAGAGAAATTTGCGGCGTTTGATCCACGAGCTCTCTCTTGCTTCTTATTATAACTTCTGGTCCTTTTTTCACTACAAGAAAAAGCTTAATTTGTGGGGGTTTATTTAGGGAGGTCATAAGAAACCCCCACTATTCGTTAGTTTTGTGGCGTTTGTGTCAATCCCCTCAAAATAATTGTATTTGTGGAGGTTTATGTATAGAGGTTATAAAAGAACCCCACTAAAAGCCAGTCAAAATTTTGATTCTTTATGTTTCCCGCGATTTTCTTAATCCAACTATGACCAATTCTCTCCATTCCTTTTTCTTTTTGATATTCCCTCATTTTTTTGCTCTGTAAAAATTCACAAAATAATAGTTGCTGCCCAACCTCATTTTTCATATTTCTCTGCTCTCGTCGTTATTGCCCAACCCTTGTCGCTCTGTCTCCCTATCGCAGGCCACCATCCCCAAAACTCAGGTATTATAACTCATCTCTCGCTACTCTCTATCAATCTCTGTCGCTGCCCATAGACTTCGTCAGTCAAACCTTAATTTTGCTGGTGGAAAATTAAAGCTAGAAAAACATTCAGTGTTTATTTTCCAAGAATTGATTGAGCATAACTCGTCCAGTTTTTGTTTCCTTGCATTTTTCATTGATATTCTGCAGATCCCACTTAATATTTTACTATTGTAAAGTCAGCAAAAGTTTACCATTGTGAAGTCAGCAATGACTTAGTGCTCTTTTCATCACTATTCTACAACTCTACAAGGTATAATAGATCCCTCTTTTGATTCTTACCATTGTAATTTTATATTCTTTCTGTTATTTTAATCTTATTCTTGTGTACAGACAAATATAATCATTGTTGATATGTGACTTGTGAGATTATTTTTACTGTATTTTCTTATGTGCATAGTGCATGCCAATTGTTTGATGAAATACACGTATTCTTCCATTGAACTCTGCAAGCAGATAAAAAGAATAAAATGAGCCTATGTATAGCAGAAATTTGAACTTACGTGTTCGGAGATGCAATAGGCTATGTATGAGGTAAACCTCACCTCTCTAAATTAACTTTTCTTCATATATAATTGGTGACATCATATGTTCGATAATTCTCTTATTGCTTGGGGTTATTAACAAGGTCTTATGTAAGCTTCCTTTGCTACTCAACTGATCCTCTCAAGTAAGAGGCGTTTTTCACACCAACTGAAAGTTTAACCTTAGAGCTTTAGGCTGGTTGAATAAATTGAACTATGACCATATTCATCAACCAAAAATAAAAAATTAAAGAATAAAAGTCATAATTATAAATTGTAGATGTTGCTATGACTATTGGATAGTGCTTCATTTCCTATAAAGATACCCAATGCACGACCAATAACTTCGGGTGCCCAATAAATAGGTGCTTGCATATTTTTGCTACAAAACAAGTCCATTGGGTTTAATAGGGGGGAAAGGTTAGGGAAAGACTATATATACTTGCCCCTCATGGTCCTTACTCACCTCATGTTATTAGAAATTTGTAGTAGTTGGGACATACTTCATACTTCAACTTCTCTCAATGATTAATAAAATACAAGAAGTTACAGAAACTATATTCTAATTTTTGCAATTGGGTGGGAGCTTTGTACTTTATATTCTGCCTGGCAAGGATTTATATTTTGTATTTATCTTTGGTAGTCAAAATGGTTAGTGAGGATTCATATATCTAATCATACTAGCTTGAAAATTGAGGCGTAATAGTAATAGTTGTTGTAGTACAGTTGTTGTTGTCCTTAGTTTTATTAGGAGACTACTCTCTTCTTATAAAAAAAATATTTACTTCATTTTTTCAGTCGCGTGAGATTCATGTTTGTCACTGTTTGAGCTCCTAAGCATTTATTTTATTTTCAGTATAATAAAATATGGCTGTTGGATTTCCATGTTAGTCAAGGAAATAAATAATGAGGTAGAACTTTATCAATATGTTTTCTAAAAGCTCAAGTGCAGTGTTAGTTCTAAGGTTGCTTTCCTCTGGAAGGTTGTGACTTCTGAGAAAGCTTACTAGTTAAAAATTATTTGCAATAGTAGATATAGCTATGGAAAGAAATAGTTTATTTAGATTGGTCAATGAAACCATGTGTTTGTCAAGGCTCTGCATAATTTTAACCTATAAAAAAGGCTCTGCATAATTTGAATTTCTGATTGCATTGGATGTAAACCTTTTTAACTTTATCTATAACATATGCTCTGGACAAGTTGAACATTTTTTTTCCATAAAACTTATCTTGTTCAACCAGTTAACAATTAAATCCAAGACTAACTCTATGTCTAGTACCATAACGAGAATAAGTACTACTGTGTAGTTTACGACTTCAACAAACTCATACTTTTCCATTGATTTAGTGTTGCCATGAATGATGAAAAATGATTGGCCTTGTTGTAGCTCATCAATATGCTTTTTCCTTTGGTTTGTCAAAAGTAAAAACTGAGTTGCCTTCAACAAACTCTGAGTTATGGATGGTATAGTACTCAATAAAATTGTGGTTACTTTGATGTCAAAATGCTTCGCTTTTAATGTGTTATTAATTGCCTTTGTTTGATGTTAAAATGTATCACTTCAAAATCATTACACTTTGCATGTATGCTCATTGCTTTAAAGTTTATATTTGCCGAACGTGCTTTTACGTATAATCTTTGAATTTTCTTTTCATAGTTAGGGAGGGTGAATTGAAGCACATGGATGCAGCACAACTGAGAGAGTATGGTCACAACATGGTTAAAATTCATTGTTGATTATTACAAGAATATTGAGAACTCCCTGTTCTTAGTTAAGTTCAGGTTTTTATAACCCATCAATTTCTTTGCCATTGTATCATTACCATGTTATTGCGGTATTGCCAAGAGTTAATAGTTTTCTTAAGAGTTTTTGTACCTGCCTGTCAGTTGTGTTTCGGCAGTCTATGGAGCCTTAGCTAGAGAGCAGTACTCTATTTTATTTAGAATAAATGGTGGAGCTAAATGTTATAATAATGAATATATATACAGTTTTTACTATCCTATCTAGTTGGTCACCATATTAGATATCATACTTGATAATAGCTTTGTTTAATTTGGTATGGATTTGAATTTGTAATGTTTCTCACAATGGTTGTTTCTAATAAAATTTGACTTATATTATAACTTATTCAATAAAATTATCTATTTAACTGTGGCAAAATGAACTACCACTAATATTTTTTGAACATTAATATCATATTTGGGGGGGAAGGGGGGGGAGGTTATAAAACCCCATATATTTTTTTTAATGCTGAAATCATATTGTGGGGGTTTAAAAATCCCCGAATTTTTTTTTTTGAAACACTAAAACCATATTAATGGAGGTTCTAAATTGTCACAAATTGATTTAAAACTCTCACAATGTAAAAAGTCATTTTGCGACGGTTGTCGTGGATGTTTTAAAAAACCGCCTCAAATATGCTCGTGACGAACGTAACTGTAGCGTTTTAAAAAATCGCCTCAATACAATTTGTTGGGGGTCAAAAACCATCACAAATTGACAAAATAACCCCCATAAATTGAGCCTTTTCTTGTAGTATTTTTAGGTTATGAAGACCCCTATTTATAGTTATGGGAGGGAAGAGTTGTGATGAGAACAAACTCTTTCCGACCAATCAGATTTAAGAGTGACAAGACCCCATTTGATTGGTCAAAATATGTTACTTGCACACGTGGCATGATTTCAATGGCCTTTTAATTTGACTTGGCATGCCTTGTCATTTTGACACGTGGCACGATCCTATTGGCTCTTCTGTTTGACTTGGCGTGCCACGTCATTTGACACGTGGCACCAAATTGGGCCTCTAGGAAGATGTCGTCTTAGGCTTAATGAAGTGGGCTCATTATTTGTAGTCCAATTATATGGGCTAGCCCAATGGATTAAGGTCTTTATTTAATCCATATATATATTGGACTTATAATTAATACAACTATATTAGCCCAATAAATTTATTTGAACTATTATAACTTGAATTTAAAATATAATCCAAATTATTTTACGGATTTAATTCCAATAAAATCTGCGTTTCATGCCCGCATGTCTCGATAGACAGGTCGAGAGTCCTACAAGTAGGCGATCAGCTCAGCGGAATATGTTGGTGCACTCCATTTGCTCCGTAGTTGCTTGTTTGGTCAGTATGATTTAGATGTGTATTGTTTGGTATGGCGGGGCTCTGTCCCGACCTTTATGATAATTATGTATTCTTAGAGGCTTATAGACAGATGTCATGTACCTAAAATATTGTATGGCCTTGTCGGCCTATGTTCAATGTATGAGTGGTTATTTTGGTCTTATAGGCCTATATGTCTTATGTATAAGTTGGTATTACATAATGTATTCTACCTATCTCACAGTAGCCTCTCCGGCTCAGTTATCTATGATAGTATGATACGAAAAGATACGTTATGTTGGTACTCGGTTGAGTAAGGAATCGGGTGCTTATCGCGGCCCATCGGTTTGGATCGTGACAAAAGTGGTATCGGATATTTTAATTTCCTCTCCTTTAATATCAAGTGGATCCCAATAAGTCATGTCGTTAAAGAGAAAAATTAAAATTTCAATATTAAATAATTTCTAAAAAGATAAAAATGTCATTTTTAATCTTCATAAAATTGACAAATGGCATATATTTTGTTGAATTGAAGTACAAATCTTATTAATATGGGTGTGCTGTAAAGTTGAAAATTGTAAGTCTTGTAAAGACTACTGCTGTTATAATTTGTAATGTGCTTAACTATTTTTAACTTTGTTTACCCTTAAAATGGATAACAATTGAATTTGTACGCGGTTAAGAATATGTAGATTGATTTAACACAAATAATCAAGAATATTAGATAAACGAGTTAAAGACAAAATGAATGATCAAACCAATTGTAACGTTACGGCCCAACTCGAACTCAGGTTGAACATTAGTTTTGCCCTCAATCGGACCCTTAGTTCGAAGCCAATTATGAATAAAGAACAAACAGTAAAGTAAGAACTTCACAATAGCTAGAAAGCAGAAAAATGAATTTGTATTGCCTTGGTTTGCGTGTTATAATGTGTGTTATCAAAGAAAAACTTCTCCTTTATATAGTATGAGAGTTTCATCCCTAGTACAAGTCTAAAAAAGGTAAAAATCTTCCTTTCTCGTTAATTACTTATTTGTAACCGACATCGGGCAAGATCTGTGCCGTGATATCCGGTTAGTTACGGACATCACGGCTCTCTGTTAGTCGTGCGTGATCGCTTGCCATATTTCCCGAGGTCTTAGAGCTCGTTTCGAGTCTAGGGAGCGTTGCTTTATCACGCCCGACGATGAGCACATTGTTCACCTTTCATAGGTCTTGGTACGAAAGGCTCCCAGCCTCGATTTCAACCTCATGTGTCGGTGCCCTCCTTCCGTCTTCTTCACCGGGAAATAAGGGTATGAATTGTCCCCGATTTTACCTGTATACAGATAGTCCGCCATTTTCCAGGGAGTAGGTTCGTCGGATCGATTAGAAACGAATAGATGAACCCCGATTTCTTCCCTCGTACGTTATAACTGAGATAACAGGTAAATCAAAACGTCCCATCAGTCGCGTCGTTCTGACTTCGGACACGTGTCGGTCATCGGCTGGCTGTCTTCGAATGTGAAACGTTGCGCATTGATTGCATTTTCCCTTATAAAAACTTCGACCTTTTACACTTCTTTCACTTTCCGATCTTAGCTTTTACCTTTGAATTTTCTAACGGCTTTTAACTTTTTCAAATCTCCATGCCATGCCTCTTGAGCCTTCATATCTTCATCTCTAATCTTCAAACCCTTCATACTCTTTCTTCAAATCTTCATATTTTTCCTTCGAATCTTCATATTCTCCTTCAAGTCTTCATACTTCCATTCAAATCTTCATATTTTCCCATATCACGATGGCTAAAACTTCCAAGTTCGTGCCTTAGCAGGCTGCCCCCTCGTCTTTCCACCCGGCCGCAGATGCCGAGGTGGCCATTCCCGGGGTGGCTCAGGAGCCCTCCATGAAGAGCTTCATACCTGGGGGCTGCTCTATCGGGGATGACTTCAAGATTGAGAAGGCCTCTAGTCAACAAGACCGAGGCGAGGGATCATGGAGATACATATGCTCTGTCACTGAAGAAACCCTACTCGTAGTCCGAGCAGATTGCAAGTGGGAGGGCAAGGACGTGGTCATCCTCGGGCCCAATGATAATATTACTACTCATGTGAAGGAGTATCTGAGTGTTTACACTTACCCCTTCACGATCGCCCCTGTGGATCCCATAGTTCTTGCTTTCTGTAAGAGGTATGAGGTGTGCCTTGGAAAAATCCACCCATCCTTCTGGAGGATTGTGATCCTCTTGCACAATTTCGTGATCAACACTGAGTCTCCTCGGTTCACCCTCGACCACCTACTCCGCCTGTACAGTCCCTGAATCTTCCGAGGGGGATTGATCACGTTCGTCCGCGGAGGAAGCAAGGCTCCTTTCTCGAGCATTGACGAGGACCGGGACCGAGGTTGGAAGCGGAGGTTCGTTCGAGTGAAAACTGAAGACCCGATTTCCACCGAGTTTCTGCCGTTCCCTGAGGAGTGGAACGCATCCCGTAAGTATTGTCTTTCTTGGGTATTTCTTCCTTTTTATTTCTTTTTCTCATCGCTTGTGTTTGTGGTCGTGCAACTGTTTCCCAAGTTCCAGATGCAATCCCCCGATTCAAGGAGTGGATCGAGGGGATTTGTAAGTAGATGTTGTACTCCGAGCGCGCATGGCGCAATCTCTTGAAGGGAAAATGGGAGGCCCGTTCTTATGGTAAGGTTCTTCCCTGAAATAGTTACCCTCACGCTCTTAACTCATATAGTGCTAACATTTTCTTCTTCCTTATAAGTCTGCCTAAGACCGCCGAACTTAGGCCGCTTGATGAGGATGAAGATCTGTCTTTGCCTGTCGAGCCCTCCGTTTCGGGACAGCCCGAGGCTGCCACGAAGGAGGAGAAGAATAAGAAAAAGAGAAAGTCCTCGGGTTCCCCGGACCCCGAGGGGAAGAGGAAGAAGGGGGAGGCCACTCGGGCCCGAAAGCCCAAGAAAAATACCAAGTCCAGGGCACCGGACCCTGGCTATCTCTACCGGCTCAGGGATGATCCCGAATAAGATGACATCTTCATCGCTCATGGATCGACCCCTACTGGGGAGCAGGTGACGACCGAGAAAGGGGACCACGAGGTCGATCCCCTGATGGCTCGGGAACTTGAGGGGAATATGGAGGCTGCGACCTTCCAGGAAGACGCTCCTGTTTCAAAGGAGGCAACCGATGTCATTGACATCATGTAGACGTCCTCCTATACCGAGTCCATGCTCGACGAGGCCCAAGCAGGCAAAGAAAAGTCAAGTGATGGAGTCCAGGGTTTAGATGATCTCCTCAACTCCTTTTTTGACAGCATGGACATGTCCATATTGGAGGATTTTTCGGGCTGAGCCACATGGAGATACCGGAGAAGGACATGCCCTCGGGAGTTGGCGGGGTGAGTTCGAACCCAAGACTAGTGAAGTAATTTCCATCGCCGATCATGGACCCCGAGTGCAAGAGAATGATCTTTCTCACAATCCTGGAGGATGCTCGGGTCCTGTCTACTCCAGTGGGAGTAGCCAGCTACCTTCGATGCCTAGTGACTGAGGAGGATCAGGAAAAGATGAATGAGGTGGGCACGTCAAGTCTTTTCAATGAGGCACAATAGGCGCTGAACCGGGTAAGGCGTCAACACATTTGTACCTCTTTATGAATCCCATTTACAAGCTTCAGTGCTTCACCATGAAACCTTCCTCCGGTACCGCTTGGAAATTAGCCAGCTCGAGTTCGAGCTCAAAAAGTAGGTCTAGAAGAAGCACATATACATGCTTCTTAGTGAGCAACAAGACGAGGCCCTTAAAGACCTCCCAATTCTTCAGGCCGAGCTGGAAAAAACACAGAAGGAGGCCTCGACCCTGAAGCGGGAACATGCCGACCTGGTTGATAAGGTAAAGGTCTTTGA